AAATTACAATTATTTCAAGCAAAAAAGGTAATAATTTCTGAAAAGCTATCATTTGGGAAACTCATAACCCCTTGGAGGTACAATAATTACCTTACTTAAGATGTCTTTTCTCATAGAATCAAGTGTATTTCATCTCAAAGAACAATACTATACATCTCACAAATTCACCCACAAAAGTATGCACAACAGAAGATTGAAACTCGAAAGACAGAAAAAAAAATCTCTTCTTACCCACAACTTGTTACAAGTAAAAGAAATCCAATTAAAAGAGAGAGTATAAACAATTCCAAAAACCATTGATTCACCTTAGAATCCCTCAGTTGTTTAATGCGCAATAGCATCCTCAGTGCCTCCTCCTTTGTTGCTTGCAGCTCGTACTGATAATGTGCTACCTTTTTCTCAGAAGACATAATCCTAGCTGCGGTCTCCTTTGCTGTGTTCAAAATTATATCGGCGTACGCCTTCTTCAAAGCCGTCAATCTCTGAATACCAGAACAAAAAAAGAATTACATATCACATGCATCAAAATCTAACCCCCACTTTTTTGAATTTTGAACAAAAGTAGAGTAATTGAACTGCAGAAAAAACACATAAACACACACATATAATCAAGAAACCACTAGGAACTAACATAAAAATAAAATAAGGGTTTAACAGAAGATCAAGGTGAGTGCAATTATTTATTTATTTTTTAAAAATAAGGGGAATAAAGTGATGACTTTATAACAAATATATGCTCAAGAAAATACCAAGAATTAGAGTAAACGATGATAACAAAAAGAGCCAAGAATACAACTAAAATCTGCCCCCATTGTTAATTAGGAAAATCAAGTGAAGAAATTTGAGATCAAACAACATAAACAAGCTTAGAAATGTCAAGGAAAACACCAAGAAGGAGTAAAGATGGAAACAAAGCAAATAAAAAAGTGAAAGGAATCCCATATTTATAGACAAGAGATGAATGTAGAACTAAAAAATCAAGTAAAGAAATGATAAAACGGGAATCAGCGAGGTAGTTGGTGGATGGTTATAAATAAAGTGGCGGCGACACACCTCGTCGGCGTCCATTATGCGGGATTTCCTTCTCTTTCTTTTCTAATGGGTTTCCTCAATTCATCGAAGAATTGTTGCTTATGGAGGTTTTTCAGACCAAAGAGGAGTTAGTTTTTGTTTCCTCAGTCTGTTATGAACTGGAACTTTTATTTTGTTGCTAGTTACCCCTCGACAAGCTTATAATTACGAAAATGCCAAGGAAGTCACGGTCAGCCGGTCAGGGCTGTTTAGGCTTTGGAGTCCCTGTGGGCGGTGATGGTCCCACCGAATGGAATTTGACACGTGGATCCTTGCATGGATAACTTTTGAAGAAATAAACTCAAAATTTTCAATATTTCAAAAATAAATATATTTTATGAAATTTCATCCTTAGTCAAAGGCTATTGATTTAGTAGAAGACAGTCCTTAATCTATTATTTTAGTATTTAAATTACCATCCTATCATTTTTGTTGCACCTTAGTCCTCAATCTTCCTTTTTCACCCCGTTACATAGACATATACCACCATATCTCGAGTTAATTATTTCAATGGTCACTAAATTTAGGTCCATATCTTCTACTACTTACTAAAGTTTAAAATATCGAGTTTTGACACTAAACTTTGAAAAATATTGTACGTTACTCACTAGCATAACTTCTATCTCGAACCTCTAATGAAATTGGTGAAGTGGCTGACTGAATGTACATGTGGCGTCCTATCCACCGTTAAACTTGGAGATTGTTGAATTTTGGGCACTAAACTTTGAAGAATGTCTTCTACTGCTCATTGAACTTTTAGGTGATCGAATTTTGATCACTGAACTTTAAAAAATGTTGAACTTTGACCATTAAACTTTGAAAAACGTCTTCTATTGCTCGCTATAAATTTGGATTTAACTACACATTTATACAGTAAAAATATTTTATAGGTAAACTCAAAAAAAAATTTCAATTTTTTAATTACACATTCTCCAAAAAAAATCACTATTTTTAGAACTCCATTTTTTTTTTTAAATAATAGCCATCAAACAGGGATTAAAAATCTTGTTACAAAATTTCGGATTTAATATATTTTTTACAATAAATATATTGTGTGCATCATTGCAATTAATAGTCACTTCATTTACACTGCTTTGCAAGCATTGTGTATATAATTAAGAATGATTACTCAATTATACAGTAGTTAAATGTAATTTTTTTTTTTTAGAATTTAAAGTTATTTTCATTGTAATATTTGAGTTTTACAACAAAATTACACAATGAAGTTGTTAAATAAAATTAAATCTAAAAATTAACAATGAATTTTAATTAAATCCAAATTTATTGTGAGTTAAGGAAGACGTTTTTCAAAGTTTTGTGGCAAAGACTCTGACCATACTCACTGAACTTTGGGGTTTAAATTTTGGCTATTGAACTTTGAGATATCCACTAAAATTTGAGATGGCCGAGGTTTTTTTTTTTTTTTTTTTTTTTTTTTTTTTTTTTTTTTTTTTTTTTTTTTTTTTTT